TGCATTTGTTCTACCCTGGCACCTAGTGTATCGAGCAGCTTCTTGGCCTCCAGTTCGGCCACTGTGACGCTAAGTGCCTCGACCTTCACCTCTGCCAACCTCTCAGTCAGTGTGTTTTAGTGCCTGGACATCCACCTGTGTTACTCTGTAAGCAAGTGTGTCCACCACCGTTTAAGGTCTTTACCATGGAGAGTTTGTGCCAAAGTATGTCGACCTCTACTACTACCAGCATGTCTGCCAGTGTGGCCCTGACTTTCACTTCAGCAAGTCGTTTACGAAGTGTCTTGTTCTCCACCTTTGCTTGGCTTTTAACAGGTGCCTCGATTATCGCTTTTCCCTCTACCTCGTACAGTGTCTCGCAAACTCTGTTGACCTGCACTTGGACTAGCGTCATTGTTTGGGCCTTACCCTGTCATTCAGTGCGTATATAAGCGTCTCTGCGTCTACCTTGTTAAGAGGGTAGTATAGTGTCTAGACATCTACCTGTCTTACCCTGTAAGCAAGTGTGTCCACCACCGCTTTAGGTCTTTACCATGATAAGTTTGTCCCAAAGTGTGTCGACCTCTACTACTACCAGCATGTCTGCCAGTGTGGTCTTGAGTTTCACTTCAGCAAGTCCTTTACGAAAGGTCTTGTTCTCCACCTTTGCTTGGCTTTTAACCAGCGCCTCGATTATCGCTTTTCCCTCTACCTTGTACAGTGTCTCGCAAACTCTGTTGACCTGCACTTGGACTAGCGACATTGATTGTGCCTCGCCTCAACTTGCATTTCTGCTAGCCTGTCACTCAGTGTATGCACCAGCTTCTTGTCCTCTATGTTGGCTACTGTGTCGCTTAGTATCTCGGACTGCAGCTCTACTCGCCTTTCAGCCAGTGTGCCTACTTGTGCGTCGCCCTAGTTTTTGGCTCCTTCTACGCCAAATGACTCGATCTTTACGTTTTCTAGGCTGTCAGTCAGTGCGTTTACCAGCGCATTATTTTTTCCGTTGGTTGGTGTCACCAAGTTTCCCTACCTTTGCTTTTGCTTGCCTATCAGCAATTTGGTAGTCCAGCTTCTTGGCGCTTACGTTAACCTGTTTCGTCAAGTGCCTTCACCTCATTGTCTGCTACCCAGTCACTCTATGTGTGTAAAGTTTCCATACACTTTAGCTCGAACAGTGTCTCGTCCAGTCTGTAGACCTAAACCTCTGTTTCTCTGCTTACCAGTGTGTCAAGCACCGCTTTGTACTCCACCTTGGCCGGCATGTTCCCTTTTTTATTTTCCTCTACCACTTATAGCCTGTCAGTCAGTGCGTATATAAGCGTCTTGGCGTCCACATCGGCAAGTCTGTACCATAGCGTCTAGACATCCACCTTTTATACTCTTCCAACATGCGCTTTAGTTTTTACCACAGACATTTTGTCAGAAAGTATATCGACTTCTACCGCTACCAGCATGTTCCCCACTAGGGCCTTGGCTTCCACTTGAGCTAGTCTTTTGCCAAGTGCCTTCTTTTTCACCTTTGTTTGCATTTTAATCAGTGCCTCGATTATCGGTGTGGCCTGTACCTCGTACAATATGTCGCAATTTCTGTTGACCTGGAGTTTGACTAGCCTTTTTGTTACTGTGTCCTCGCAACTTGAATTTGTGGTAGCCTGTCACATAATGTTTCGAACAGCTTCTTGGCCTCCTGCTCGGCCACTGTGTCGCTAAGTGTCTCGACCTTCTATCTGCTCGTCTGTCAGCTGCAGTGTCGACCTAAGGCAAGGTCTACCCCTCGGCTAGTCTGTTGCTTAGTGCCTTAAAGACAATCACTCTTAGACAATTACCAGGTCAGCCAATGTGTTGATTTAAAAGTATCAAAATCTACCACTGCTAGCAGCTGACAGTTTTTTTTACACTGTGTGTGTAGCCAACTGCTTCGACTTTTACCACTGAAAGTCTGTCTGCCAGTGTGTCGACCAAATAATGTGTTCTAAAGTGTTTTGACCTCTACCCATTTTTCTCTTCAAGGCAGCGTGTCGACCAGCGCCCGAAACTCCATCTCGGCCAGTGACTCTCAAAGTTTTTTAACCTAAACCCCTAATAGCCTAGCAACCAATTTGTCGAGCAGCGCCGATCTCTTCGTTTTCGCTAGTTTGTTTTTAAGTGACCCTACCTGCATCCTTGCTTGCTTCTCAACCACAGTATCAGCCAGCGTGTTAATCTCCACCTCAGACAGTGTTTCGCCAAATATGTTAAGCATACAGAATAAAGCATCGCCATGAACTTCAGCCTGGCCTTGCCTAACGTCTCATAGTTGAAGAGTGTGTAGAGAAGGTATTCGAGCTAGAGTTTCGTCGAGTGCGTCAACTTGCTCCTCCGCTAGCTTGTCAGCCAGCACGCCCACCAGCCTCTGCAGTCCACCTCGGCTTGTGTTTTGCTAAGTGTGTCAACGTTCAATACTACTAACCTTTCAGGTAGTGTCTTGACGTAGGCAAGGCCTGCAGCTTGATTAGTGTGTTGCTTAGTGTCTCGAAGTCCACCTCTCTTTGTCTGTTGGCCAGTGTGTTGACTAGCGCCTTGGCCTGCTTCTTTGTCAGTGTGAAGCCAAGTTTCCCAACTCCACCTCTTTTAGCATGTCAGTCAGTGTGTTGACAAGTGTCTTAACATCCAACTTTGGTAGGCTCATTGAGAGTGTCAACCAGTTCTCTGCCATCACCTAGGCCAGTGGCTCGCCAAGTTTGTCGACTTTTTTTAGAACTGTGCTACCTTGTGCTCTTGTGTTTTGACCAGCCTCTCCCTAGCAAGTGTGTGTAGAAGCGCTTTCGCTTACATCTACGCCATTCTTTTTGTAATTTTCTTAATGTCCACGTTTGCTACCTATGCAGATAGTATCTCTATTTGGGCTTCAGCCTCGACCTTGGCTCTGTAAACATCTTAGTTAGGGTGTCCACCAGCGAGTTCTATCCAACGAGGCCAGTGTGTCGCTTACATTCCTGACATCTATTCCTGCTAGCCTTTCAGCCAGTATGTCGGCTTACCGCTAGGCCTGCCTCTTATCTAGTGTGATGCTTAGTACCTTACCTCTAACTCGTTAATGCTATTACTTGGTGTGTCGACTAGCCTCTTAGCCTCTACCTAGGTTATTGTTTTGCTTAGTGCCCCGACTCCCACGTCTGCTAGCCTATAACCGACTGCTTTTACAATCGTCCAAGACTTTTCTTTGGCCACTGTCTTGGAAAAAGTGTTGAGCTACACGTCTCTTAGCTTGTCAGCCAGTTGTTTAACTAGCGTCTGGGCCTTTACTTCGCCCAGTCCTGCACCGAGTGTCTGGAACTAAACTTCTCCTAGACTGACAGCCAGTGTGTCTACCGTTTTCAGATGGCCAGTGTTTAAGCAAGTGTCTCGGCTTTAGCAACTGCTTGCCCATCGGCAAGTTGGCAAGACCACCAAGTCAACAGACTCTCAACCAGAGTTTCATCCTGTGTCTCAACTTTCCATTCTACTAACCTTTCGGTTAGTGTCTCGACCTAGGCAAGGCCTGCACCTTGATTAGTGTGTTGCTCAGTGTCTTGAAGTCCACCTCTCTTTGTCTGTTTGCCAGTGTGTTGACTAGCGCTTTGGTTTGCTTCTTTGTCAGTGAAGCCATGTTTCCCAACTCCACCTCTTTTAGCATGTCAGTCAGTGTGTGGACAAGTGTCTTGACCTCAACCTTTAGTAGGTTTATAGAGATTGTCAACCAGCCTGTCCGACTTTACCTAGGCCAGTGTCTCGCCAAGTTTGTCGACTTTTTTTAAAACTCTGCTAGCTTGTGCTCTTGTGTTTTAACCAGCCCCTCCCTACGACTCTGCCTTCACGAGGGCGCCACGGAGTGTCTCGAACTGGCCTCGCTAGCCCGTCAGCAAGTTTGTCTACAAGCGCTTTGGCTTACATCTACGCCATTCTTTTGGTAATTTTCTTAATGTCCACTTTTGCTAGCTATGCAGATAGTATCTCTATTAGCGCGTCAGCCTCGACCTTGGCTTTGCAAACATCTTAGTTAGGGTGTCGACCAGCGCATCTAACACGGCCAGTGTGTCGCTTACTTTAGACTTTACTTTAAGAGTTTACTTTGGCCGGGGTCTGGAAAAGAGTGTCGAGCTACACCTCTCCTAGCTTGGCAGCCAGTTTTTTAACCAGCTTCTGGGCCTGTACTTCGGCCAGTCTTGCGCCGTGTCTGCAACTAAACCTCTGCTAGCCTGACAGCCACTGTAACTACTGCTTTATGTTGGCCAGTGTTTAATCAAGTTTGTCGGCTTTGGCAACTGCTAGTCTGTCAGCAAATTAATCGGACAAGCAAGTCAGCCTTTCTTTTAGTCAAGTGTCAAGAGTCTCGACCTTCAACTTTTGTAGCCTCTCAGTTAATGTGTAGTCCAAAAACTAACTCTTCACTTTGCCTAATGTTTGGCAAGATGTGTCAACCTCTTTTTCCGCAAGCCTGTAGCCTAGTGTCGCAGTTGGGCGTCAATATCCACCACGAACAGTAATTCGCCAACTGTGTTGACTTGCCACTCAGTTACCTTTTCAGCCAGTGTGTCTACTTTGCCTCGGCCTTTCTCTTGGCCTGTCCTTCGCAAAGTGTGTCGACCTCCACCTCTTCTAGCCTGTCAGCTCTTTTACTGTATAAGCAAGTGTGTCCACCAGCGCTTTAGTGTTTACCATGGACAGTTTCTCCCCCAGTTTGTCGACCTCTACCGCTACCAGCATGTCCGCCAGTGTGGACAAGCCCTCCACTTCAGCTAGTCTTTCGCCAAGTGTCTTGTTCTCCACCTTTGCTTGGCTTTTAACCAGTGCCTCGATTATCGCTTTTGCCTGTATCTCGTAATGTATCTCGCAAACTGTGTTAACCTTCACTTGGATTAGCCTCTTTGTTCATGTGTCGTCTCAACTTGCATTTCTGCTAGCCTGTCATTCAGTGTCTGCTCCAGTTTCTTGGGCTTCAGCTCGGCCACTGAGACACTAAGTGTCTTGACCTCCACTTCTGCTCGACTGGCAGCCAGTTTTGTTGACCTACGCAAAGGTCTGTACCTCGGCTAGTCTGTTTGTTACTGTCTCAAAGACAATAACTCTTAGACAATTAGCATGTCAGCAAATGTAATGACAGCGGCACTTACACAGATGTATGGTTAATAGCATCAAATTTTACCCTTTCTAGCCGCTGACAGTTTGTTTAACACGTCTTGGTACTTTACTTTCGCCAGTGTGTAGTCGACTGTTTCCACTTTCACCACTGATAGCCTGTCAGCCAGTGTATCGACCAGCATCTTGCTCCCCATCTCAAACAATGTGTTCTAAACTGTCATGACCTGTACCCGTTTTTCTCTTTCAGGCAGCATGTCCACCAGCGGCTGGAAATCCACCTCGGTCAGTGACTCCCAAGGTTTTTCAAATTACACCACTAATAGCCTAGCAAACAATCTGTCCATCAGCCCCGCTTTTTGAGTTTTCGCTAGTGTGTTTTCAAGTTACTTCACCTGCATTCTTGCATGCCTCTGAACTAGAGTGTCAACCATCGTGTCAATCTCTACCTCAGACACTGTGCCGCAAAATTTGTTAAGCATACAGCATCAAGCATTCATGGCCTTTAGCCAGGCCAGTGAGGCGCTTAGCGTCTCGGAATTGGACAGTGTGTAAAGAAGGTATTCGAGCTTTACCTATGATAGGCTATTAGTCAGTGTGTAAGGAAGTGTCTTGACCTCCAACTTTGGTAAGCTCATAGAGAGAGACGACCAGCCTCTCCGTCTCCACGTAGGCCAGTGTCTCGTCAAGTTTGTCGACTTTCGTTACAACTTTGCTAGCTCGGGCTTTTGTTGTTTGACCAGCCTCTCCCTAGGACTCTACCTTCACGAGGGAGTCGTAGAGTGTCTTGACCTCGGCCATCGCTAGCTCTTCAGCCAGTGTGTCTACAAGCGCTTTGGTTTCCATCAAGGCGATTATTTTTTTAATTTTCTTGATGTCCACCTTTACTAGCTATGCAGATAGTGTCTCCACCAAAGCGTCAGCCTCGACATTCCAAAATATGTTGGTAAGAGTGCTTATCTCCACCTCTGTAAGCCTCTTAATTAGGGTGTGGAACAGTGCGTTTGCATCCAACACGGTCAGTGTGTCGCTTAGTGTCCTGACCTCTATCTTTATCCCAAAACTAGGTCTCCACCCCGCCTAATGTTTGGCCAAGTGTNTGTCTGCTCCAGTTTCTTGGGCTTCAGCTCGGCCACTGAGACACTAAGTGTCTTGACCTCCACTTCTGCTCGACTGGCAGCCAGTTTTGTTGACCTACGCAAAGGTCTGTACCTCGGCTAGTCTGTTTGTTACTGTCTCAAAGACAATAACTCTTAGACAATTAGCATGTCAGCAAATGTAATGACAGCGGCACTTACACAGATGTATGGTTAATAGCATCAAATTTTACCCTTTCTAGCCGCTGACAGTTTGTTTAACACGTCTTGGTACTTTACTTTCGCCAGTGTGTAGTCGACTGTTTCCACTTTCACCACTGATAGCCTGTCAGCCAGTGTATCGACCAGCATCTTGCTCCCCATCTCAAACAATGTGTTCTAAACTGTCATGACCTGTACCCGTTTTTCTCTTTCAGGCAGCATGTCCACCAGCGGCTGGAAATCCACCTCGGTCAGTGACTCCCAAGGTTTTTCAAATTACACCACTAATAGCCTAGCAAACAATCTGTCCATCAGCCCCGCTTTTTGAGTTTTCGCTAGTGTGTTTTCAAGTTACTTCACCTGCATTCTTGCATGCCTCTGAACTAGAGTGTCAACCATCGTGTCAATCTCTACCTCAGACACTGTGCCGCAAAATTTGTTAAGCATACAGCATCAAGCATTCATGGCCTTTAGCCAGGCCAGTGAGGCGCTTAGCGTCTCGGAATTGGACAGTGTGTAAAGAAGGTATTCGAGCTTTACCTATGATAGGCTATTAGTCAGTGTGTAAGGAAGTGTCTTGACCTCCAACTTTGGTAAGCTCATAGAGAGAGACGACCAGCCTCTCCGTCTCCACGTAGGCCAGTGTCTCGTCAAGTTTGTCGACTTTCGTTACAACTTTGCTAGCTCGGGCTTTTGTTGTTTGACCAGCCTCTCCCTAGGACTCTACCTTCACGAGGGAGTCGTAGAGTGTCTTGACCTCGGCCATCGCTAGCTCTTCAGCCAGTGTGTCTACAAGCGCTTTGGTTTCCATCAAGGCGATTATTTTTTTAATTTTCTTGATGTCCACCTTTACTAGCTATGCAGATAGTGTCTCCACCAAAGCGTCAGCCTCGACATTCCAAAATATGTTGGTAAGAGTGCTTATCTCCACCTCTGTAAGCCTCTTAATTAGGGTGTGGAACAGTGCGTTTGCATCCAACACGGTCAGTGTGTCGCTTAGTGTCCTGACCTCTATCTTTATCCCAAAACTAGGTCTCCACCCCGCCTAATGTTTGGCCAAGTGTGTGAACCTCTTTCTCTGCAAGGCTGTAGGCTAGTGTCTCAGGTGTGTGTCAGCTTCCACCACGAACAGTAAGTGGCCAAATGTGTTGACTTGCCACTCTGTTACCTTTTCAGGCAGTGTGTCTACTTTGCCTTGGCCTACTTCTTGGCTTTTCCTACGCCACGTGTCTCGACCTCCACCTCTGCTGCCCTGTCAACCAGTGTGTTTACCAGTGCATCATTTTTGGCGTTGGCTGGTGTCGCCAAGTTTCTCGACCTTTACTTCTGCTTGCCTAGCAACCATTTGGTAGTGCAGCGCCTAGGCGTTTTCCTCAAGCTGTTTGTCGCAAGTGACTGGATCTCATTCTCTGCTACCGTGTTCTTTAATGTGTGTAACGTTTCCATGCCCTTTAGCTTGGACAGTGTGTTGCCAAATGTGTGGACCTTAACCTCTGTTTCCCTGGCTGCTATTGTGTTAAGCACCGCTTTGCTTTGCGTCTCGGCGTCCACCTCGGCATCTGTTTAGCATAGCGCCTGCACATCCACCTCTTTCACTCTGTAAGCAAGTGTGAACCAACGCTTTAGTTTTTACTACGGACAGTTTGTCCTTAATTGTGTCGACCTCTATTGCTACCAACATGTCCGCCAGTGTGGCCTTGGCCTCCATTTAAGCTACTCTCTCGCCAAGTGTCTTGTTCTACACCTTTTCTTGCATTTTAACTCGTGCTTCGATTATCGCTTTAGCCTTTACTTTGTACAGTATCTCGCAAAATGTTTTGACCACCGCTTGGAGTAGCGTCTTTGTTAGGGTGTTGTCTCAACTTGCATTTCTGCTAGCCTTTCACTCAGTGTATTCAGCAGCCTCTTGGCCTACAGCTCGGCCACTGTGTCGCTAAGTGTCTCGACCTCCACCTCTGATCGCCTGTCAGTCAGTGTGCCTACCTTTGCCTCGTTGTCCTAGTTGGTTTTTCTTTCACCAAGTGTCTCGACCTCCACGTCTGCTAGTCACTCAGCCAGTTTATTTACCAGTGCATCATTTTCGCATTAACTGGTGTCGCCAAGTTTCTTGACCTTTACTTCTGCTTACCTTGCAACCATTTGGTAGTGCAGCGCCTTGGCGTTTACCTCAAGCTGCGTGTCGCCAAGTGACTGGACCTCATTCTCTGCTACCTTGTCACTTAATGTGTGTAACGTTTCCATACACTTCAGCTCGGACAGTGTGTCGGCGAGTGTGTGGACCTTGACCTCTGTTTTTGTGTCTGCCAGTGTGTCAATCACCGCTTTGCACTCTACCTTGAACGGCATGTTGCCAACTTTATATTCCTCCAGCACTGGTAGTCTGTCAGTAAGTGCGTATATAAGCGTCTAGGCGTCCACCTCGGAAAGCGTGGAGCATAGCTCCTGACATCCACCTCTATCGCTGTGTAATCAAGTTTTTCCACCAACGCTTTATTCTTTACCAGGTACAGTTTGTCCCCAAGAGTGTCGACCTCTACCGCTAACAGCATGTCCGGCAGTGTGGCCTTGGCCACTTCAGCTAGTCTTCAGTGTCTTGTTCTCCACCTTTGCTTGCCTTTTAACCAGTGCCTCGATTATCGCTTTAGCCTTCACCTCTTACAGTATTTCGCAAAATGGGCTGACCTTCACTTGCATTAGCCTCTTTGTTCGCGTGTCGTCTCAACTTGCATTTCTGCTTGATTGTCACCTAGTGTATGCAGCAGCTTCTCGGCCTCCAGCTCGGTCACTGTGACGCTAAATGTCTCGACCTCCCACTCTGCTCGCCTGTCAGCCAGTGTGTAGACCTGCGCCATTAGCTGCGCCGCAGCTAGTTGGTAGCCTGTCAGTTAATGTGTAGTCCAAAAACTAACTCTTCACCTCGCCTAATGTTTGGCGAGATGTGTCAACCTCTTTCTCCGCAAGCATGTAGCCTAGTGTCGCAGTTGGCCACCAAGAACAGTAATTCGCCAACTGTGTTGACTTGCCCTCAGTTACCTTTTCAGCGTGTGTTTCTACTTTGCCTCGGCCTTTCTCTTGGCCTGTCCTACGCAAAGTGTGTCGAACTCCACCTCTGCTACGCTGTCAGCTCTTTTAGTCTATAAGCAAGTGTTTCCACCAGCGCTTTAGTGTTTACCATGGACAGTTTCTCCCCCAGTGTGTCGACCTCTATTGCCACAAGCATGTCCGTTAGTGTGGACAAGCCCTCCACTTCAGCTAGTCTTTTGCCAGGAGTCTTGTTCTCCACCTTTGCTTGACTTTTAACCAGTGCCTCGATTATCGCTTTTGCCTGTATCTCGTAATGTGTCTCGCAAACTGTGTTAACCTTCACTTGGATTAGCCTCTTTGTTCGTGTGTCGTCTCAACTTGCATTTCTGCTAGCCTGTCATTCAGTGTCTGCTCCAGTTTCTTGGGCTTCAGCTCGGCCACTGAGACACTAAGTGTCTTGACCTCCACTTCTGCTCGCCTGACAGCCAGTTTTGTTGACCTACGCAAAGGTCTGTACCTCGGCTAGTCTGTTTGTTACTGTCTCAAAGACAATAACTCTTAGACAATTAGCATGTCAGCAAATGTAATGACAGCGGCACCTACACAAATGTATGGTTAATAGTATCATATTTTTCCCTTGCTTTCCGCTGACAGTTTGTTTAACACCTCTTAGTACTTTACTTTCGCCAGTGTATAGCCGACTGTTTCCATCTTTACCACTGATAGCCTGTCAGCCAGTGTATCGACCAGTGTAATGGTCCTTACCTCGAACAATGTGTTCTGAAGTGTTTTGACCTCTACCTATTTTTCCCTTCCAGACAGCGTGTGGACCAGCGCCTGGAACTCAACCTCGGCCAGTGACTCGCAAGGCTTTTCAACCTACACTAATAATACTCTAGCAACCAATGTGGCGAACAGCGCCGATATTTCTTTTTTCGTTAGTGTGTTTTCAAGTGATCCTACCTGTATCCCTCCTTGGCTCTCAACCAGAGTTTCATCCAGCGTGTCAATCTCCACTTCAGACAGTGTTTCGCCATATATGTTAAGCATACAGCATAAAGCATCATCATGAACTTAAGCCCGGCCTTGCCTAGCGTCTCGAACTCGAACAGTGTGTAGAGAAGTTATTCAAGCTCTACTTTTCTCAAGTGTGTCAACTTGCTCTTCGTCGAGCCTGTAAGCCAGTATGTCAACCAGCCTCTGGGCACCGCCTCTGCCAGCCTTGTGCTAAGTGTCTCAATTTTCTATACTACTAGGTTCTTCGCTAGTGTCTCAGTTGGGTGTGAGCATCTATCACGAACAGTAAGTAGCCAAATGTGTTGACTTCGCACTCTGTTACCTTTTCAGCCAGTGTGCCTACTTTGCCGCGGCCTACTTCTCTGCTTTTCCTACGCCAAGTGTCTCGACCTCAACCTCTGCTGCCCTGTCACCCAGTGTGTTTACCAGTGCATCATTTTCGGCGTTGGCTGGTGTCCCCAAGTTTCTTGACCTCTACTTCTGCTTTCCTATCAGTTATTCGGTAGCCAAGTGCCTTGGTGTTTACCTCAAGCTGTGTGTCGCCAAGTAACCCGACCTCATTTTCTGCTACTGTTACACTCAATGTGTGTAACGTTTGCATACCCTTCAGCTCGGACAGTGTGTCGCCAAGTGAGTGGACCTCAACCTCTGATTTTCTGTCTGCGGATATGTCAAGCACCTCTTTGCACTGTACCTTGGCTGGCAAGTTGCCAACTTTTTTTTTCTTCACCACAGATAGCCTGTCAGTCAGTGCGTATATAAGCGTCTCGGGGTCTACCTTGACAAGTGGGTAGTATAGTGTCTGGACATCCACCTGTCTTACCATGCAAGCAAGAGTGTCCACCACCGCTTTAGGTCTTTACCATAATAAGTTTGTCCCAAAGTGTGTCGACCTCTACTACTACCAGCCAAGTGAGTGGGCCTCATTCTCTTATTTTCTGTCTGCGGGTGTGTGAGGCACCGCTTTGCACTTTTCCTTGGAGTGGCAAGTTGCCAACTTTGTTTTTCTTCACCACAGGTAGCCTGTCAGTCAGTGCGTGTATAAGCGTCTTGGCGTCCACCTTAAGAAGTGGGTAATATAGTGTCTGGAGATCCACTGTCTTACCCTGTAAGCAAGTATGTCCACCACCGCTTTAGGTCTTTACCATAAAAAATTTGTCCCAAAGTGTGTCGACCTCTACTACCACCAGCATGTCTGCCAGTGTGGCCTTGGCTTTCACTTTAGCAAGTCTTTTACGAAGTGTCTTGTTCTCCACCTTTGCTTGGATTTTAAGCGGTGGCTCGATTATCGCTTTTTCCTCTACCTCGTACAGTGTCTCGCAAACTCTGTTGACCTGCACTTGGACTAGCGTCATTGTGCGTGCGTCGTCTTAACTTGCATTTCTGCTAGCCTGTTACTCAGTGTATGCACCAGCTTCTTGGCCTCTAGGTCGGCTACTTTGTCGCTTAGTTTCTCGAACTGCAGCTCTACTCGTCTTTCAGCCAGTGTGACTACTTGTTCGTCGCCCTACTTTTTGGCTTTTTGTTCGCCGTGTCCCGACCTTTTTGCTTGCTATCCTGTCAGCCGGTGTGTTTACAAATGCATCTTTTTCGGCGTTGTCTAGTGTCGCCAAGTTTCTCGCACTTTACTTCTGCTTGCTCAGCAATAATTTGATAGTGCAGGGCCTTAGCATTTCCATCAAGCTGTGTCGACAAGAGACCTGCAGTTTGACAAGCCTTTTTGTTACTGTGTCGTCGGAACTTGGATTTGTGCTAGCCTGTCAGCTAATTTTTCAAGCAGCTTCTTTGCCTCCTGCTCGGCTACTGTTTTGCTAAGTGTCTCGACCTCCTATCTGCTCGCCTGTCAGCTGCTGTGTCGACCTACGAAAAGGTCTACACCTCGGCTAGTCTGTTGCTTAGTGCCTTAACGACAATCACTCCTAGACAATTACCATGTCAGCAAATGTGTTGATTTAAAACTATCAAAATCTACCTCTGCTAGCCGCTGACAGTTTTTTTACACCGTCTGGTACTTTACCTTGGCCTGTGTGTAGCCAACTGCTTGGACTTTTACCACTGAAAGTCTGTCTGCCAGTGTGTCGACCAAACAATGTGTTCTAAAGTGTTTTGACTTCTACGCATTTTTTTCTTTAAGGCTGCGTGTCGACCAGCGCCCGAAACCCCATCTCGGCCAGTGACTCTCAAAGTTTTTTAACCTAAACCCCTAATAGCCTAGCAACCAATTTGTCGAGCAGCGCCGATCTCTTTGTTTTTGCTAGTTTGTTTTTAAGTGACCCTACCTGCATCCTTGCTTGCTTCTCAACCACAGTATTAGCCAGCGTGTCAATCTGCACCTCAGACAGTGTTTCGCCAAATATTTTAAGCATACAGAATAAAGCATCGCCATGAACTTCAGCCTGGCCTTGCCTAACGTCTCGAACTTGAAGAGTGTGTAGAGATAAGATCCGACCTAGAGTTTTGTCGAGTGCGTCAACTTGCTCCATCGCTAGCTTGTCAGCCAGCACGCCCACCAGCCTCTGGCGTCAACCTCGGCTTGTGTTTTGCTAAGTGTCTCAAACTTAAATACTACTAACCTTTCGGGTAGTGTCTTGACCTAGGCAAGGCCTGCACCTTGAGTAGTGTGTTGCTCAGTGTCTCGAAGTCCACCTCTCTTTGTCTGTTTGCCAATGTGTTGACTAGTGCTTTGGCTTTCTTCTTTGTCAGTGAGGCCATGTTGCCAACTCCACCTCATTAGGATGTTAGTAAGCGTGTGGAAGAGTGTCTTGACCTCCAGCTTTAGTAGGTTTATAGAGATTGTCAACCAGCCTTTCCGCCTTAAACCAACGCCAGTGTCTCGCCAAGTTTGTCGACTTTCTTTACAACTCTGCTAGCTTGGGCTCTTGTGTTTTGACAAGCCTCTTCCTACGACTCTGCCTTCACGCGGGCGCCGAGGAGTGTCTTGAGCTGGCCTCGCTAGCCATTCAGCAAGTTTGATTACAAGCGCTTTGGCTTACATCTACGCCATTCTTTTTGTAATTTTCTTAATGTCCACCTTTGCTAGCTATGCAGATAGTATCTCTATTAGTGCGTTAGCCTCGACCTTGGCTTTGCAAACATCTTAGTTAGGGTGTCGACCAGCGCATCTAACACGGCCAGTGTGTCGCTTACTTTAGACCTTACTTTAAGACTTTACTTTGGCCATGGTCTGGAAAAGAGTGTCGAGCTACACCTGTCCTACCTTGTCAGCCAGTTTTTTAACCAGCTTCTGGGCCTGTACTTCGGCCAGTCTTGCGCCGAGTTTCTGGAACTAAACCTCTGCTAGCCTGACAGCCACTGTAACTACCGTTTTCCGTTAGCCAGTGTTTAACCAAGTTTGTCGGCTTTGGCAACTGCTAGCCTATTAGCAAATTAATCGGGCAAGCAAGTCAGCCTTTCTTTTAGCTACGGTGGTGTCAAGTGTCTCGACCTTCAACTTTGGTAGCCTGTCAGTTAATGTGTAGTCCAAAAACTAACTCTTCACCTCCCCTAATGTTTGGCGAAATGTGTCAACCTCTTTTTCCGCAAGCCTGCAGCCTAGTGTCGCAGTTGGGCGCCAGTCTCCACCACGAACAGTAATTCGCCAACTGTGTTGACTTCTCACTCAGTTACCTTTTAAGCCATTGTGTCTACTTTGCCTCGGCCTTCTTCTTGGCCTATTCTTCGCAAAGTGTCTCGACCTCCACCTCTGCTAGCCTGTCACCCAGTTTCTTTACCAGTACATCATTTTTGGCGTTGGCTGGTGTCGCCAAGTTTCTCGACCTTTACTTCTGCTTCCCTATCAGTTATTCGGTAGCCAAGTGCATTGGTGTTTACCTCAAGCTGTGTGTTGCCAAGTAACTCGACCTCATTTTCTGCTACTGTGACACTCAATGTGTGTAACGTTTGCATACCCTTCAGCTCGGACAGTGTGTCGCCAAGTGAGTGGACCTCAACCTCTGATTTTCTGTCTGCGGTTGTGTCAAGCACCTCTTTGCACTGTGCCTTGGCTGGCAAGTTGAAAACTTTATTTTTCTTCACCACAGGTAGCCTGTCAGTCAGTGCGTATATAAGCGTCTCGGCGTCTACCTTGACAAGTGGGTAGGATAGTGTCGGGACATCCACCTGTCTTACCCTGTAAGCAAGTGTGTCCACCACCGCTTTAGGTCTTTACCATGAAAAGTTTGTCCCAAAGTGTGTCGACCTTTACAGCTACCAGCATGTCTGCCAGTGTGGCCTTGGCTTTCACTTTAGCAAGTCTTTTACGAAGTGTCTTGTTCTCCACCTTTGCTTGGCTTTTAACCAGTGCCTCGATTATCGCTTTTTCCTCTACCTTGTACAGTGTCTCGCAAACTCTGTTGACCTGCTCTTGGACTAGCGTCATTGTTCGTGCGTCGTCTCAACTTGCATTTCTGCTAGCCTTTCACTCAGTGTATGCACCAGCTTCTTGGCCTCTAGGTCGGCTACTTTGTCGCTTAGTTTCTCGAACTGCAGCTCTACTCGTCTTTCAGCCAGTGTGACTACTTGTGCGTCGCCCTACTTTTTGGCTTTTTGTTCGCCGTGTCCCGACCTTTTTGCTTACTATCCTGTCAGCCGGTGTGTTTACAAATGCATCTTTTTTGGCGTTGTCTAGTGTCGCCAAGTTTCTCGCACTTTACTTCTGCTTGCCTAGCAAAAATTTGGTAGTGCAGCGCCTTAGCGTTTCCATCAAGCTGTGTGTCGACAGGAGACCTGCAGTTTGACAAGCCTTTTTGTTACTGTGTCGTCGGAACTTGGATTTGTGCTAGCCTGTCAGCTAGTTTTTCAAGCAGCTTCTTTGCCTCCTGCTCGGCTACTGTGTCGCTAAGTGTCTCGACCTCCTATCTACTCGCCTGTCAGCTGCTGTGTCGACCTACGAAAAGGTCTGCACCTCGGCTTGTCTGTTGCTTAGTGCCTTAAAGACAATCACTCCTAGACAATTACCATGTCAGTCAATGTGTTGATTTAGAAGTATCAAAATCTACCTCTGCTAGCCGCTGACAGTTTTGTTAACACCGTCTGGTACTTTATCTTGGCCTGTGTGTAGCCAACTGCTTCGACTTTTACCACTGAAAGTCTGTCTGCCAGTGTGTCGACCAAACAATGTGTTCTAAAGTGTTTTGACCTCTAAACATTTTTCTCTTCAAGGCAGTGTGTCGACGAGCGCCCGAAACTCCATCTCGGCCAGTGACTCTCAAAGTTTTTTAACCTAAACCCCTAATAGCCTAGCAACCAATCTGTCGAGCAGCGCCGATCTCTTTGTTTTTGCTAGTTTGTTTTTAAGTGACCCTACCTGCATCCTTGCTTGCTTCTCAACCACAGTATTAGCCAGCGTGTCAATCTGCACCTCAGACAGTGTTTCGCCAAATNTTTCTCTTCAAGGCAGTGTGTCGACGAGCGCCCGAAACTCCATCTCGGCCAGTGACTCTCAAAGTTTTTTAACCTAAACCCCTAATAGCCTAGCAACCAATCTGTCGAGCAGCGCCGATCTCTTTGTTTTTGCTAGTTTGTTTTTAAGTGACCCTACCTGCATCCTTGCTTGCTTCTCAACCACAGTATTAGCCAGCGTGTCAATCTGCACCTCAGACAGTGTTTCGCCAAATATGTTAAGCATACAGAATAAAGCATCGCCATGCACTTCAGCCTGGCCTTGCCTAAGGTCTCGAACTTGAAGAGTGTGTAGAGATAAGATCCGACCTAGAGTTTTGTCGAGTGCGTCAACTTGCTCCATCGCTAGCTTGTCAGCCAGCACGCCCACCAGCCTCTGGCGTCAACGTCGGCTTTTGTTTTTCTAAGTGTCTAAACCTTCAATACTACTAACCTTTCGGGTAGTGTCTTGACCTAGGCAAGGCCTGCACCTTGATTAGTGTGTTGCTCAGTGTCTCGAAGTCCACCTCTCTTTGTCTGTTTGCCAATGTGTTGACAAGTGCTTTGGCTTTCTTCTTTGTAAGTGAGGCCATGTTGCCAACTCCACCTCTTTTAAGATGTTAGTCAGAGTGTGGAAGAGTGTCTTGACCTCCAGCTTTAGTAGGTTTATAGAGATTGTCAACCAGCCTCTCCGCCTTCACCAAGGCCAGTGTCTCGCCAAGATTGTCGACTTTCTTTACAACTCTGCTAGCTTGTGCTCTTGTGTTTTGACCAGCCTCTCCCTAGGACTCTACGTTTACGAGGGCGCCGAGGAGTGTCTTGAACTGGCCTCGCTAGCCATTCAGCAAGTTTGTCTACAAGCGCTTTGGCTTACATCTAAGCCATTCTTTTGGTAATTTTCTTAATGTCCACTTTTGCTAGCTATGCACCAGCTTTTTGGCCTGTAGGTCGGCTACTGTGTCGCTTAGTTTCTCGAACTGCAGCTCTACTCATCTTTCAGCCAGTTTGCCTACTTGTGCGTCGCCCTACTATTTGGCTTTTTCTGTGCCGAGTGTCCCGACCTTTACATTTGCTAGCCTGTCAGCCGGTGTGTTTACAATTGTATCAATTTCAGCGTTATCTTGTGTCGCCTAGTTCCTCGCAGTTTAATTCCGCTTGGCTAGCAACAATTTGATAGTAGAGCGCCTTAGCGTTTCCATCTAGCTGTGTATCGCCAAGTGAATGGATCTTATTCTCTGCTACCGTATTCTTTAGTGTGTGTAACGTTTCCAAGTTCTTTAGCTCGCCCACCGTATCGCTTAGTATCTCGACCCCCACCTCTACACCCCTGTCAGCTGGTGTGTTGACCTAAGCCAAGGTCTGCACCTCGGCTGGTGTGTTGCTTATTGCCTCAAAGACAATCACTCTTACACAATTTCCATGCTGCCCAATGTGTTGAATTCCGTCAACTACACAACTGTATTGTTAATAGTATGAAAATATACCTCTGCTAGCCGCTGACAGTTTGTGTAACACCGCTTGCTACTTTACTTTCGCCAGTGTCTAGGCCACTTCTTCGAATTTAACCACTGATAGCCTGTCAGCCAGTGTGTCGACCAGTCTCTTGGTCCCCACCTCGAACAATGTGTTCTAAAGTGTTTTGACCTCTACCTATTTATCCCTTCCAGACAGCGTCTGGACCACGCCTAGAACTCCACCTCGGCCATTGACTCGCAAGGTTTTTCAACCTACACTCCTAATAGCCTATCAATTAATTTGTTGAGCAGCGCCGATTTTTCCGTTTTCGCTAGTGTGTTTTCAAGTGATCCTACCTGCATCTTGCTTACCTCTCAAGTTTCATCCAGCGTGGCAATCTCCACCTCAGACAGTGTTTCGCCAAATATGTTAGGCACACGGCATAAAGCATCGCCATGAACTTTAGCCCGGCCTTGCCTAGCGTCTCGAACTTGGACAGTGTGTAGAGAAATTATTCAAGCTCTAGTTTTCTCAAGTGTGTCCACTTGCTCTTCTGCTGGCCTGTAAGCCAGCACGTCAACCAGCCTCTGGCCTCTAACTTGGCCTGTCTTTTGCCAAATGTCTCAACCTTCAATACTACTAACCTTTCGGGAAGTGTCTTGACCTAGGCAAGGCCTGCACCTTGATTAGTGTGTTGCTTAGTGTCTCGAAGTCCACCTCTCTTTGTCTGTTTGCCAGTGTGTTGACTAGCGCTGTGGCTTGCTTCTTTGTCAGTGTGAAGCCAAGTTCCCCAACTCCACCTCTTTTAGCATTTAAGTCACTGTGTTGTCAAGTGTCTTGATATCCAGCTTTAGTAGGTTTATAGAGAGTGTCAACCAGCCTCTCCGCCTTCACCTAGGCCAGTGTCTCGCCAAGTTTGTCGCCTTTCTTTATAACTCTGCTAGCTTGTGCTCTTGTGTTTTGACCAGCCTCTTCCTACGACTCTGCCTTCACGCGGGCGCCGCAGAGTGTCTTGAACTGGCCTGGCTAGCCCTTTAGCAAGTTTGTCTACAAGCGATTTGGCTTACATCTACGCCATTCTTTTGGTAATTTTCTTAATGTCCACTTTTGCTAGCTATGCAGATAGCATCTCTATTAGTGCGTCAGCCTCGACCTTGGCTTTACAAGCATCTTAGTTAGGGTGTCGACCAGCGCATCCAACATGGCCAGTGTGCGCTTACCTTAGACTTTACTTTAAGACGTTACTTTGGCCGGCATCTGGAAAAGAGTGTCGAGCTACACCTCTCCTAGCTTGGCAGCCAGTTTTTTAACCAGCTTCTGGGCCTGTACTTCGGCTAGTCTTGCGCCGTGTCTGCAACTAAACCTCTGCTAGCCTAACAGTCACTGTAACTTCCGTTTTCAGTTGGCCAGTGTTTAAGCAAGTCTGTCGGCTTTGGCAACTGCTAGCCTGTCAGCAAGTTAATCGGCAAGCAAGTCAGCCTTTCTTTTAGCAACGGTAATGTCAAGTGTCTCGACCTTCAACTTTGGTAGCCTTTCACTTAATGTGTAGTCCGAAAACTAACTCCTCACCTCGCCTAATGTTTGGCGAGATGTGTCAACCTCTTTCTCCGCAAGCATGTAGCCTAGTGTCGCAGTTGGGCGTCAGGTCTCCACCACGAATAGTAATTCGCCAACTGTGTTGACTTGCCACTCAGTTACCTTTTAAGCCAGTGTGTTTACTTTGTCTCTGCTTTCTTCTTGCCCTGTCCTTCGCAAAGTGTCTCGACCTCCACCTCTGCTAGCCTGTCAGCTATTTTAGTCTATAAGCAAGTGTGTCCACCAGCGCTTTAGTGTTTACCATGGACAGTTTCTCCCCCAGTGTGTCGACCTCTACCGCTACTAGCGTGTCCGCCAGTGTGGACAAACCCTCCACTTCAGCTAGTCTTTCGCCAAGTGTCTTGTTCTCTACCTTTGCTTGGCTTTTAACCAGTGCGTCGATTATCGCTTTTGCCTGTATCTCGTAATGTATCTCGCAAACTGTGTTAACCTTCACTTGGGCCTCTTTGTTGGTGTGTCGTCTCAACTAGCATTTCTGCTAGCCTGTCATTCAGTGTATGCACCAGTTTCTTGGGTTCCAGCTCGGCCACTGAGATACTAAGTGTCTTGACCTCCACTTCTGCTCGCCTGACAGCCAGTTTTGTTGACCTACGCAAAGGTGTGCACATCGGCTAGTCTGTTTGTTAGTGTCTCAAAGACAATAACTCTTAGACAATTAGCATGTCAGCAAATGTAATGACTGCCGCACCTACACCACTGTATGGTTAATAGTATCAAATTTTACCCTTGCTTGCCGCTGACAGTTTGTTTAACACCTCTTGGTACTTTACTTTCGTCAGTGTGTAGCCGACTGTTTCCACTTTCACCACTGATAGCCTGTCAGCCAGTGTGTCGATCAGTATCTTGCTCCCCATCTCAAACAATGTGTTCTAAACTGTCTTGACCTCTACCCGTTTTTCTCTTTCAGGCAGCATGTCGACCAGCGCCTGGAAATCCACCTCGGCCAGGTACTCGCAAGGTTTTTCAAATTACTCCGCTGATAGCCTAGCAACCAATGTGTCAATCAGCCCGGCTTTTTGAGTTTTTGCTACTGTGTTTTCATTTACTTTACCTGCATCCTTGCATGCCTCCTAGCTAGAGTGTCAACAAAAGTGTCAATCTCCACCTCAGACACTATGCCGCCAAGTTTGTTAAGCATACAGCATCAAGCATCGCAATGGCCTTTAGCCAGGCCAGTGAGACGCTTAGCGTCTCGGAATTGGACAGTGTGTAAAGAAGGTATTCGAGCTTTACCTATTATAGGCTATTAGTCAGTGTGTGGGCAAGTGTCTTGACCTCCAACTTTGGTAAGCTCATAGAGAGAGAGTCGACCAGCCTCTCCGTCGCCACCTAGGCCAGTGTCTCGCGAAGTTTGTCAACTTTCGTTACAACTTTGCTAGCTCGTGCTTTTGTTGTTTGACCAGCCTCTCCCTAGGACTCTACCTTCACTAGTGTGTCGTAGAGTGTCTTGACCTCGGCCATCGCTAGCCCTTCAGCCAGTGTGTCTACAAGCGCATTGGTTTCCATCTAGGCGATTATTTTTGTAATTTTCTTGATGTCCACCTTTGCTAGCTATGCAGATAGTGTCTCCACCAGAGCGTCAGCCTCCACATTGAAAAATATGTTGGTAAGAGTGCTTATCTGCACCTCTGCAAGCCTCTTAATTACGGTGTGGACCAGTGCGTTTGCGTCCAACACGGTCAGTGTGTCGCTTAGTGTCCTGACCTCTATCTTTGTCCCAAAACTAGGTCTCCACCCCGCCTAATGTTTCGCCAAGTGAGTAAACCTCTTTCTCCGCAGGGCTGTAGGCTAGTTTCTTAGTTGTGTGTCAGCTTCCACCACGAACAGTAAGTGGCCAAATGTGTTGACTTGCCACTCTGTTATTTTTTCAGCCAGTGTGTATAGTTTGCCTCGGCCTACTTCTTGGCTTTTCCTACGCCACGTGTCTCGACCTCCACCTCTGCTGCCCTGTCACCCAGTGTGTTTACCAGTTCATCATTTTTGGCGTTGGCTGGTGTCGCCAAGTTTCTCGACCTTTACTTCTGCTTTCCTATCAGTTATTCGGTAGCCAAGCGCCTTGGTGTTTACCTCAATCTGTGTGTCGCCAAGTAACTCGACCTCAATTTCTGCTACTGTGACAGTCAATGTGTGTAACGTTTCCATACCCTTCAGCTCGGACAGTGTGTCGCCAAGTGAGTGGACCTCAACCTCTGATTTTCTGTCTGCGGGTGTGTCAAGCACCGCTTTGCACTCTATTTTGGCTGGAGAGTTGCCAATTTTATTTTTCTTCACCACTGGTAGCCTGTCAGTCAGTGCGTATATAAGCGTCTTCGCGTCTACCTTGAAGAGTGGGTAGTATAGTACCTAGACGTCCACCTGTCTTACCCTGTAAGCAAGTGTGTCCACCACCGCTTTAGGTCTTTACCATGATAAGTTTGTCCCAAAGTGTGTCGACCTCTACTACTACCAGCGTGTCTTCCAGTGTGGCCTTGGCTTTCACTTCAGCAAGTCTTTTACGAAGTGTCTTGTTCTCCACCTTTGCTTGGCTTTTAAGCGGTGCCTCGATTATCGCTTTTTCCTGTACCTGGTAGAGTGTCTTGCAAACTCTTTTGACCTGCACTTGCACTAGCGTTATTGTTCGTCCGTCGTGTCAACTTGCATTTCTGCTAGCCTGTTACTCAGTGTATGCACCAGCTTCTTGGCCTCTAGGTCGGCTACTGTGTCGCTTAGTTTCTCGAACTGCAGCTCTACTCGTCTTTCAGCCAGTGTGCCTACTTGTGCGTCGCCCTACTTTTTGGCTTTTTCTTCGCCAAGTGTCTCGACCTTTACGTTTGCTAGCCTGTCACCCGGTGTGTTTACAAAAGCATCATTTTCGGCGTTGGTTAGTGTCACCAAGTTTCTCGACCTTTACTTCTGCTTGCCTAGCAACCATTTGGTAGTGCAGCGCCTTGGCGTTTTCCCCAAGCTGTGTGTCGCAAGTGACTGGATCTTATTCTCTGCTACCGTGTTTTTCAATATTTGTAATGTTTCCATGCCCTTTGGCTCGGACAGTGTGTTGCCAAATGTGTGGACCTTAACCTCTGTTTCTCTGGCTGCTAGTGTGTTAAGCACCGCTTTGCACTCTACCTTGACCGGCATGTTGCCAACTTTATATTCCTCCAGCACTGGTAGTCTGTCAGTCAGTGCGTATATAAGCGTCTCGGCGTCCACCTCGGAAAGCGTGTAGCATAGCACCTGGACATCCACCTCTATCACTCTGTAATCAAGTTTTTCCACCAACGCTTTATTCTTTACCAGTTACCAGTGTGGCCTTGGCCTCCACATAAGCTACTCTTTCGCCAAGTATCTTGTTCTACACCTTTTCTTGCCTTTTAACTCGTGCCTCGATTATCGCTTTAGCCTTTACTTTGTACAGTATCTCGCAAAATGTGTTGACCTCCACTTGGAGTACCGTCTTTGTTAGGGTGTTGTCTCAACTTGCATTTCTGCTAGCCTTTCACTCAGTGTATTCAGCAGCTTCTTTCGCCAAGTGTCTCGACCTCCACGTCTGCTAGCCACTCAGCTAGTTTGTTTACCAGTTCATCATTTTCGCATTCGCTGGTGTTGCCAAGTTTCTTGACCTTTACTTCTGCTTATCTTGCAACCATTTGGTACTGCAACGCCTTGGCGTTTACCTCAAGCTGTGTGTCGCCAAGTGACTGGACCTCATTCTCTGCTACCGTGTCAGTTAATGTGTGTAACGTTTCCATACACTTCAGCTCGGACAGTGTGTCGGCGAGTCTGTGGACCTTGACCTCTGTTTTTGTGTCTGCGGGTGTATCTATCACCGCTTAGCACTCTACCTTGACCGGCATGTTGCCAACTTTATATTCCTCCAGCACTGGTAGTCTTTCAGTCAGTGCGTATATAAGCGTCTAGGCGTCCACCTCGGAAAGCGTGTAGCATAGCGCCTGGACATCCACCTCTATCACTCTGTAATCAAGTTTGTCCACCAACGCTTTATTCTTTACCAGGTACAGTTTGTCCCCAAGTGCGTCGACCTCTACCGCTAACAGCATGTCCGCCAGTGTGGCCTTGGCCTCCACTTTATCTAGTCTTCAGTGTCTTGTTCTCCACCTTTGCTTGCCTTTTAACCAGTGCCTCGATTATCGCTTTAACCTTCAAATCTTACAGTATCTCGCAAACTGTGCTGACCTTCATTTGCAGTAGCCTCTTTGTTCGCGTGTCGTCTCAACTTGCATGTCTGCTTGACTGTCACCTAGTGTATGCAGCAGCTTCTCAGCCTCCAGCTCGGTCACTGTGACGCTAAATGTCTCGACCTCCCACTCTGCTCGCCTGTCAGCCAGTGTGTAGACCTGCGCCATTAGCTGCGCCGCAACTAGTTGGAAGCCTGTCAGTTAATGTGTAGTCCAAAAACTAACTCTTCACCTCGCCTAATGTTTGGCGAGATGTGTCAACCTCTTTCGCCGCAAGCCTGTAGCCTAGTGTCGCAGTTGGGCGTCAGTCTCCACCACGAACAGTAATTCGCCAACTGTGTTGACTTGCCACTCAGTTACCTTTTCAGCCAGTGTGTCTACTTTGCCTTGGCCATCTTCTTGGCCTGTCCTTCGCAAAGTGTCTCGACCTCCACCTCTGCTAGCCTGTCACCTATTTTAGTCTATAAGCAAGTGTGTCCACCACCGCTTTAGAGTTTACCATGGACAGTTTCTCCCCCAGTGTGTCGACCTCTACCGCTACTAGCGTGTCCGCCAGTGTGGACAAACCCTCCACTTCAGCTAGTCTTTCGCCAAGTGTCTTGTTCTCCACCTTTGCTTGGCTTTTAACCAGTGCGTCGATTATCGCTTTTGCCTGTATCTCGTAATGTATCTCGCAAACTGTGGTAACCTTCACTTGGGCCTCTTTGTTGGTGTGTCGTCTCAACTTGCATTTCTGCTAGCCTGTCATTCAGTGTATGCACCAGTTTCTTGGGCTCCAGCTCGGCCACTGAGATACTAAGTGTCTTGACCTCCACTTCTGCTCGCCTGACAGCCAGTTTTGTTGACCTACGCAAAGGTGTGCACATCGGCTAGTCTGTTTGTTAGTGTCTCAAAGACAATAACTCTTAGACAATTAGCATGTCAGCAAATGTAATGACTGCCGCACCTACACCACTGTATGGTTAATAGTATCAAATTTTACCCTTGCTTGCCGCTGACAGTTTGTTTAACACCTCTTGGTACTTTACTTTCGTCAGTGTGTAGCCGACTGTTTCCACTTTCACCACTGATAGCCTGTCAGCCAGTGTGTCGACCAGTATCTTGCTCCCCATCTCAAACAATGTGTTCTAAACTGTCTTGACCTCTACCCGTTTTTCTCTTTCAGGCAGCATGTCGACCAGCGCCTGGAAATCCACCTCGGCCAGGTACTCGCAAGGTTTTTCAAATTACACCTCTAATAACCTAGCAACCAATGTGTCAATCAGCCCCGCTTTTTGAGTTTTTGCTAGTGTGTTTTCAAGTTACTTCACCTGCATTCTTGCATGTCTCTGAACTAGAGTGTCAACAAGCGTGTCAATCTCCACCTCAGACACTGTGCCGCCAAGTTTGTTAAGCATACAGCATCAAGCATCGCAATGTCCTTTACCCAGGCCAGTGAGGCGCTTAGCGTCTCTTAATTGGACAGTGTGTAAAGAAGGTATTCGAGCTTTACCTATGATAGGCTATTAGTCAGTGTGTGGGCAAGTGTCTTGACCTCCACCTTTGGTAAGCTCATAAAGAGAGATTCGATCAGCCTCTCCGTCTCCACCTAGGCCAGTGTCTCGCGAAGTTTGTCAACTTTCGTTACAACTTTGCTAGCTTGTGCTTTTGTTGTTTGACAAGCCTCTCCCTAGGACTCTACCTTCACTAGGGTGTCGTAGAGTGTCTTGACCTAGGCCATCACTAGCCCTTCAGCCAGTGTGACTACAAGCGCATTGGTTTCCATCTAGGCGATTATTTTTGTAATTTTCTTGATGTCCACCTTTGCTAGCTATGCAGATAGTGTCTCCACCAGAGCCTCAGCCTCCACATTGCAAAATATGTAGGTAAGAGTGCTTATCTTCACCTCTGCAAGCCTCTTAATTAGGGTATAGACCAGTGCATTTGCATCCAACACGGTCAGTGTGTCGCTTAGTGTCCTGACCTCTATCTTTGTCCCAAAACTAGGTCTCCACCCCGCCTAATGTTTGGCCAAGTGTGTAAACCTCTTTCTCCGCAAGGCTGTAGGCTGGTGTCTCAGTTGTGTGTCAGCTTCCACCACGAACAGTAAGTGGCCAAATGTGTTGACTTGCCACTCTGTTACCTTTTCAGCCAGTGTGTATACTTTGCCTCGGCCTACTTCTTGGCTTTTCCTACGCCAAGTGTCTCGACCTCCACCTCTGCTGCCCTGTCACCCAGTGTCTTTACCAGTACATCATTTTTGGCGTTGGCTGGTGTCGCCAAGTTTCTCGAGCTTTACTTCTGCTTTCCTATCAGTTATTCGGTAGCCAGGTGCCTTGGTGTTTACCTCAAGCTGTGTGTCGCCAAGAAACTCGACCTCATTTTCTGCTACTGTGACAGTCAATGTGTGTAACGTTTCCATACCCTTCAGCTCGGACAGTGTGTCGCCAAGTGAGTGGACCTCAACCTCTGATTTTCTGTCTGCGGGTGTGTCAAGCACCGCTTTGCACTCTTCCTTGGCTGGCAAGTTGCCAACTTTATTTTTCTCCACCACTGGTAGCCAGTCAGTCAGTGCGTATATAAGCGTCTTCGCGTCTACCTTGACAAGTGGGTAGTTTAGTGCCTGCACATCTACCTGTCTTACCCTGTAAGCAAGTGTGTCCACCACCGCTTTAGGTCTTTACCATGATAAGTTTGTCCCAAAGTGTGTCGACCTATACTACTACCAGCATGTCTGCCAGTGTGGCCTTGGCTTTCGCTTCAGCAAGTCTTTTGCAAAGTGTCTTGTTCTCCACCTTTGCTTGGCTTTTTAAAGGTGCCTCGATTATCGCTTTTTCTTGTACCTTGTACAGTGTTTCGCAAACTCTGTTGACCTGCTGTTGGACTAGCGTCATTGTTCGTGCGTCGTCTCAACTTGCATTTCTGCTAGCCTGTTACTCAGTGTATGCACCAGCTTCTTGGCCTCTAGGTCGGCTACTGTGTCGCTTAGTTTCTCGAACTGCAGCTCTACTCGTCTTTCAGCCAGTGTGCCTACTTGTGCGTCTCCCTACTTTTTGGCTTTTTCTTCGCCAAGTGTCTCGACCTTTACGTTTGCTAGCCTGTCACCCGGTGTGTTTACAAAAGCATCATTTTCGGCGTTGGCTAGTGTCGCCAAGTTTCTCGCACTTTACTTCTGCTTGCCTAGCAATAATTTGGTAGTGCAGCGCCTTGAGGTTTTCCTCAAGCTGTGTGTCGCCAAGTGACTGGATCTCATTCTCTGCTACCGTGTCCTTTAGTGTGTGTAACGTTTCCATGCTCTTTAGCTCGCCCACTGTGTCGCTTAGTGTCTCGATCCCCACTTCTGCTCCCCTGTCAGCTGGTGTGTCGACCTAAGCCAAGGTCTGCACTTCGGCTAGTGTGTTGCTTAGTGCCTCAAAGACAATCACTCTTAGACAATTACCATGCTAGCCAATGTGTTGAATTCCGCCACCTACACTACTGTATTGTTAATAGTATCAAAATCTAGCTCTGCAAGCCACTGACAGTTTGTGTAACACCGCTTGGTACTTTACTTTGACCAGTGTCTAGCCGACTGCTACGAATTTCACCACTGATAGCCTGTCAGCCAGTGTCTCGACCAGTGTCTTGGTCCCCACCTCGAACAATGTGTTCTAAAGTGTTTTGACCTCTACCTATTTTTCTCTTCCAGACAGCGTGTGGACCAGCGCCTGAAACTCCACCTCGGCCAGTGACTCGCAAGGTTTTTCAACCTACACTCCTAAAAGCCTAGCAACCAATTTGTCGAGCAGCGCCGATTTCTCCGTTTTCGCTAGTGTGTTTTCAAGTGATCCTACCTGCATCCTTGCTTGCCTCTCAACCAGAGTTTCATCCAGCGTGTCAATCTCCACCTCAGACAGTGTTTCGCCAAATATGTTAAGCATACAGCATAAAGCATCGCCATGAACTTTAGCCCGGCCTTGCCTAGCGTCTCGAACTCGGACAGTGTGTAGAGAAGTTATTCAAGCTCTACTTTTCTCAAGTGTGTCAACTTGCTCCTCTGCTAGCCTGTAAGCCAGCACATCAACCAGCCTCTGGCCTCCAACTCGGCCGGTCTTTTGCTAAGTGTCTCAACCTTCAATACTACTAACCTTTCGGGTAGTGTCTTGACCTAGGCAAGGCCTGCACCTTGATTAGTGTGTTGCTCAGTGTCTCGAAGTCCACCTCTCTTTGTCTGTTGGCCAGTGTTTTGACTAGCGCTTTGGCTTGCTTCTTTGTCAGTGTGAAGCCAAGTTCCCCAACTCCACCTCTTTTAGCATGTCAGTCAGTGTGTGGACAAGTGCCTTGACCCCCAACTTTGGAAGGCTTATAGAGAGTGTCAACCAGCCTCTCCGCCTTCACCTAGGCCAGTGTCTCGCCAAGTTTGTCGACTTTCTTTACAACTCTGCTAGCTTGTGCTCTTGTGTTTTGACCAGCCTCTCCCTAGGACTCTACTTTCACGAGGGCGCCGCGGAGTGTCTTGAACTGGCCTCGCTAGCCCTTAAGCAAGTTTGTCTGCAAGCGATTTGGCTTACATCTACGCCATTCTTTTGGTAATTTTTTTATGTCCACCTTTGCTAGCTATGCAGATAGTATCTCTTTTAGCACGTCAGCCTCAACCTTGACTCTCAAAGCATCTTAGTTAGGGTGTCGACAATTGCGTTTGCATCCAACACGGCCAGTGTGTCGCTTTCTTTTCTGACCTCTATTCCTGCTAGCCTTTCAGCCAGTATGTCGGCTTATCCCTAGGCCTGCCTCTTAACAAGTGTGTTGCTTAGTGTCTAACCTTTAACTCTGTAATGCTATTACATGGTTTGTCGACTAGCCTCTTAGCCTCTACCTAGGTCAGTGTTTTGCTAAGTGCCTCGACCCCCACGTCTCCTAGCCTATAATCGAGTTTCTTCACAAGCGCCCAAGATTTTACATTTGCCGGGGTCTGGGAAAGAGTGTCGAGCTACACCTCTTCTAGCTTGTCAGCCAGTTGTTTAACCAGCTTGAGGGCCTGTACTTCGGCCAGTCTTGCGCCGAGTGTCTGGAACTAAACTTCTGCTAGCCTGACGGCCACTGTAACTACCGTTTTCAGTTGGCCAGTGTTTAAGCAAGTGTGTCGGCTTTGGCAACTGCTAGCCTGTCAGCAAGTTAATCGGTGTTGTCAACTGTTTCGACCTTCAACTTTGGTAGCCTGTCAGTTAATGTGTAGTCCAAAAACTAACTCTTCACCTCGCCTAATGTTTTGGCGAGATGTGTGAACCTCTTTCTCCGCAAGCCTGTAGCCTAGTGTCGAAGCGTGTAGCATAGCGCCTGGACATCCACCTCTATCACTCTGTAATCAAGTTTTTCCACCAGCGCTTTATTCTTTACCAGGTACAGTTTGTCCCCAAGTGTGTCGACCTCTACCGCTAACAGCATGTCCGCCAGTGTGGCCTTGGCCTCCACTTCATCTAGTCTTCAGTGTCTTGTTCTCCACCTTTGCTTGCCTTTTAACCAGTGCCTCGATTATCGCTTTAGCCTTCACCTCTTACAGTATCTCGCAAACTGTGCTGACCTTCACTTGCAGTAGCCTCTTTGTTCGCGTGTCGTCTCAACTTGCATTTCTGCTTGGACTGTCACCTAGTGTATGCAGCAGCTTCTCAGCCTCCAGCTCGGTCACTGTGACGCTAAATGTCTCGACCTCCCACTCTGCTCGCCTGTCAGCCAGTGTGTAGACCTGCGTCAAGGTCTGCGCCGCGGCTAGTCGGTAGCGTAGTGTCTCAAAGGCAATCTAATCTCTCTTAGACAGTTAACATGTCAGCCAATGTGTTGATTGCCGTGACCTACACCAATTTATGGTTAATAGTATTAAATTCCACCTCTGCTAGTCTTGCAGACAGTTTGTTTACCAGCGCCTGGTACTTTACTTTGGCAGTCTACAGCCGACTGTTTCGATCTTCACCACTGCTTCACCACTGCATCGCCATGGCTTTCAGCGCGGCCAGTGAGTTGCCTAGCGTCTCGAACTCGGACAGTGTGTAGAGAAGTTATTCGAGCTTTACCTATGATAGCCTATTAGTTAGTCTGAAGTGCAAAGCCTAACCTCGGCTAGTGTTTCGTCAAGTGTGTCAACTTGCATTTCTGCTAGCCTGTCAGCCAGTAGGTCAACCAGCCTCCTGGCTTCTGCCTCGGCCAGTCTTTTGCTAAGTGTCTCCACCTCCAATACTACTAACCTTTCAGTTAGTGTTGATTGATTGATTCACTTTTATTTGAATACGGTAATTTCATAAGTTACATAACTTCTTTACATGAAAGCCGTATAGAAACAGAAGTAAATACTGTACAACTACACTAAAAATATGTACAAATAATAGAATATAGTAAAATGTAGTCAACAGTTTGCCTGCCTACTAGCCAGTTTTCTTTTAAAGATAGCTTTAGATTCGGACGCTTTTATGTCATTTGGTAATGAATTCCACAGCATTCCTCCTCGGTGTGAGAAAGGCCCCTTATAATATTCTATTTTTGGAACGTGGTCTATTACAACATTATATTCCGTATCTGTTAGCATAGACTTATAAGGGTTGTTCTCACAGACATTCGACTTAAGTGCCTTTGACGCCTTGAGGCAAGCTCTTCCCAGTTTAGTTGTTTTCGTCTTTGTGCTGAACGAACGTCATAACCTTGAAAGGTTATTATGCGTGCGGCACAATTTTGTAATTTCTGGATCCCAGTGCAAGTCCCTGGTCTAAATTGTCCCAAACAACGTCGCAGTCGTGGAACACAGGCTGGATAAGAGATTTGTAAATAGTATTTAGAACATCTAATGGTACATAATCAAGTGCCTGTTTTAGACAACTGATGGATCGATTGACTTTTGAACAAAGTTTGTCAACATGCTCATTCCATTTAAGATTTTCATCTAAGTGAATTGCTAAATATTTTGTTGTTTGGACTCTTTTAACATGATTGTTGCCAATCTTAACTGGAAAGTCTCTTCCTAAGTTAGATAATTTCAAGGTAGTTGTAAAGAACATATACTCCGTTTTAGTGACATTTAAGCTTAACTTATTTGCATGAAGCCACTCCCCAACGCGAGTTAGGTCATTATTTACTTTGGCATTTATTCAGCAGTGGATACAGAGGACGCATATATCGTGGTATCATCGGCATACATGTGTGCTTTGATATGGAGAAGACATCCAGGGAGATCATTGATATATATTAAAAACAAAGGGCCTAAAATTGAACCCTGTGGAACTCCACAACTTATCAACTGGGGCTTAGATAGACACCCCTCTACTACACACTACTGTTGCCTATCTGATAAGTACAATGAAAACCAGTCGAACGTTACGCCCTTCAGATCATAGAGCTCAAGCGTTTTTAATAAAATATTATGTGAAACGGTATCAAAGGCTTTCGCAAGATCAAGAAGCACAATCAAATTGGTCATGCCTTTGTCAATGTAAAGATACCAATTATTTGTTAAATGTAATAGCGCTGTCACTGTAGAGTGAAGGAAACGAAATCCAGACTGGTTTTTTGTCAACAGGCCATTTGAATTTAAGTACCCGTATAGTTGATCGTAGACTACCATTTCACAAATCTTAGAAATGGCTGGCAAGACAGATATTGGTCTATAGTTTTGTGCATCTGTGCGATCATTCTTTTTATACAAAGGAAATACTTTAGCCATTTTCCACCGTGAAGGAACGAGGCCAGTATCTATGGCTTTGTTTATGATACAGGTTAAAGAAGTGGCAATAATTGGGCCAGCTTCTTTTAGAAGCCGACAGGAGATGTAATCAAGGCCAGTGGCATTGTTCGGAGATAATTTACCTAATAACTTTAAAACTTCAGTGATAGAGGTATGTTGTACATTAAACGTCGCGGAAACAGGCTCTATGTAAGAGTCAAAACTTGTATTTCCACTAGGCAGTGTTGAGGCTAGGTTTGGACCGACAGATGTAAAATGGTCATTTAAAATCACACATTTCTGCGGGTTTTGTGAAGGAATTATCACCACTTTTTAGTTCACTTATTGTAGAGTTACTAGTGCACTTACGATATGTTAACTCAGTGATTGTCCTCCATATTTCCTTCGGGTTACCCCACTTTTGATTTATAATAATTCGCTTTTGCCATTTTAATCTCGTTATTTATTCTATTTCTTTCTTTTCTATATTTAGCCCGGATAGATGGCTGTTTTGTTAATACAGTAATAGCCCGCGTATAAGAACCTGGGTTTTAAAAACATGTTAGGCTAAAATTTTCATTTTAAGCCCCCTCCACATAAGAACCTATTTAGGCTAAAATTTTAAGTTAGGTTCTTATCAGCGGGGATGCTGTAAAAGTGTATAGGTAGAAACTGCTGAGTTAAGATCATCATCTATTTAAAAGTAACTTGACATAATTTTTTTTCTTTCAAGCTTAAGCCCTATGCGCTACCACCTTGGGTGCTGGACTGGATTGCAGATTTTCTTACTGACAGGAAGCAACGAGTGAAACTCGCCCACGATTGCTACTCGGATTGGGGATCTGTC